CATTCAGGCCTTCCTGTGTCCCAGACCCTGCATTGCATGTGTCCCAGTACTGTCCCAATGAGGTCTACTGCTGCTGAGGCCCTTCGGCCTGGATTTTCTAGATTTGGACGTTTGGATCTGGACGGTTTCTCAGACTTAGACCAGAACTGGGACTCTGTTTATTGACTAACTTTCGAACAGACACAATTTTGGACGAACAGACACACTTACTGCCTGAACAAACATCTATATTGTTTGAATAGACACTCTCCTTTTGCACGAACAGGCACACTGACTGCACGTACAGACACATCCCTATCTGAACAGACTTGACATGTGCATCCCCTGGCGAACAGGTATGTCCTCCAGCAATGACCTTTAGCATCGACTTCTTGCTTTAGGTTAGATGTGCCCTTTGACCAGAGAACTTGACCTTTGATCTGCTTTCACGTTTCCTGGGCCCTAGCGAGATACCCCTTCACGCTGCTTTACTTTTACAAGGCCTGAATTGGGTAAAGGCCTTTTTACTCTCGCCGACCTAGTTTCGAACTCCTCTGAGAAATCGTTTATCTATCAATGATGTTGACTCCTTTCTTTCCTCTTTCATACGCGGACACAATATGAGGTGCAGAATCCAATAACTTTTCTCTTGTAAACCAGCGATCTTCACTGGGATCCTAGTATGCAAATCTGACCTTATATTGACGTTGTGGTCTGCCTCTACGACCAGTGTGAAAGGTGTTTTCCGCAACAATCTTGTCCACGTCATATTTATCATCCATACTTGGAGGTATCGCTGATCTGCGACTCGGAAATAACTCATTTGTTACACAAGGTAAGAGCTTTGATGCGTGGAACACTGGATAGGTATGTAGATGCAAAGGAATCTCAATGACATACGAGGGACCATCTACATCCCCAATCACATCTAAGACCTGCCAAGGTCCTCTGTAGGCGGGTACAAGTTTTTGAGAAATGTTCTCTTCAGGAGTAAATTCCCTAGACTTCACCCAAACCAAATCTCCTACAACAAATTGAGATGGTCGTCTGTGCTTATTCGCCTGTTCAATCATTTGATATTGTGCTTTGATTATATTTTCTTTTACCTTTTCAATATCTTTCTGATATTGGATTGCGAATTCACTTGTCCCTGGTGGAAGTTTATGCACTTGATCTGGATTCAGGTGATCAATCGGTCTACGTGGTTTCCATCCCAAGTTTAACTCCATAGGAGTCTTACATGTAGATAAATGTACAAAGTTATTGTAGGCACTAGCAACCGTAGGCAAATGTTCATCCCAATCGATCTGGTCGGGACGAATATACATGCGCAATCTCTGCTGCAAGATCTTGTTCATTTGCTCAGTCTGGCCGTTAGTCTCAGGATGTCTACCTGATGACATAGCCAACTTAGAACCATAGACATTCATTAGTTGTTGCCATTGTTCACTCGTGAACCTTGTATCTCTGTCACTTACAATAGTCAAGGGATGTCCAAAGTCTTTCACCCAGTGGTTAAAGAACTCCCGAATTACTAGATCAGTCCTTGCTTTCCAAGGTAAAGCTACAAAGACAGCATACTTAGTAAATCTATCAACGATTACCATCACTTGCGTTTTCTCATTTCTACTCTTCACCTTAATGTCCATGAAATCTATAGACACTGAGTCTTCGGGTCCTGTCGGGATAGGCAAAGGCTTGAGCAAACCAAGGGGAGATTGCGTAGTGCTCTTGTTTCATTGGCACACTTGGCAACCATGCACATAAGCAATGCAATCAGGCTTCATTCGAGGCCAGATATAGGAATGCAAAAGGGTCCCATAAGTCTTCTTCCACCCAAAATGGCCTTCGGTATCGTGACATTCCCCTAAGATCATACTCTTGATCTCTTTCACATTGGGTATGCATAGTCTATCATTCACATCAGTCCTCTCAAACAATAAACCCTGAGTAATCTTGTGATTGGGAAACTCAGTTGACGCTTCTTGCACACGTTTAATCATCACGCCATAGACAGGATCAGAGGGATACACATTCCTAATCTTCTCTTGTAAATCGGCACCAACATCTAGATATGTCACAATGACACCGAAAAAGTCAGATCTACAACTTAGTGCATCAGCAACGACATTGTACTTACCCTGTACTGGCTTGAGTTCAAAATCAAATAAGTCAATTTCAGCAGCCCACCTTGTTAACTTAGGTGTCATTCGGACCTGTGTTTTGAGCCAGCGAAGTGTTTCATGGTCAGAATATACCTTAAAATGCCTTCCCAAAAGATAGTGTCTCCAATGATTGAGAGCCTCACGAAGAGCATACAACTCCCTCTCGTAAGTCGAAGCGGCCACTTTCTCATTAGGCAATTGACAGGACATAAACTCTACAGGTCTGTATCCATGTCCATCATCTTGTTGGAGTACAGCACCTATACCATATTGACTAGCGTCGGTTGTGACAACGAAAGGTAATGAAGGGTCTGCCACTTTTAAAACCGGGTAGTTGATTAAACACTTTTTCAGACGCTTGAACGACATTGTGCAGTCTGAATCACACTTCCAGATTGTTTCTTTCTTGAGTAACCTACGAAGGGGAGCAACTATTATCGTGAAGTGTCTTACGAACTTCCGATAATAGTTGGCTAACCCTAAAAACGACCGCAACTCAGTCAAAGTGCGGAGGTTCAGCCAATCTCTGATTGCTGCTATTTTTGCATCTTCCGGTTTGACCCCATCTCCATCAATCACATGGCCCAAGTACAAAACCTGACGCTTGGCCCATTCACACTTTTTTGGGACTTGAGTTTTGCTTCTCGCAACTTATTTAGCACAAGTCGAAGGTGCTCAATATGTTCCTTTTCATCTTTGCTAAAAATCAGGATATCGTCTAGATAGATAACAACGATTTTATCAAGCCATTTACGAAAAAGTTCGTTCATTGTTCTTTGGAAAGTGGCATTCGATAGATTGGCCCCTTGGGAGGTGAACTCCTTGGAACAACGTCAATGCGATGCTTAATTGGTCTTTCTACCACACCACTTGGGGGTTCAGCCACATCTGCGAATTCCTTCAGTATTCTTTCAATTTCTTGGGACTTAACCCCTTCCTTACTTTCCCCCTCCATTACTGGGCTCACATATGCAACAAAGACTTGATCATACAGGTTATATCTTTTCACATGGCGAGCGAACGCTGGGGCACTCATGCAACAATGAGCTAGGCTGCTTTCCTTTCCTGAGTCGTGATAGAGACGAATTTTCCTTTTGCCTCCTTGCGGACTTGGGAGCCAACATTCATGGTCCTTTAGCTTTAGATCCGCATTCGCAGCCTCTCCCCAATCCATGCCTAACAACACATCAAAGGGCAAGCTATCCTCCACCAAGAAGGTCAGAGAGTGGAGAACACGTTCTACCTTCCCCTCTGCCTCGAGCCGAAAGTATGCTTGGACCCCCTCGACATACCGATCCATGACGATTTCACTACTGTTAACTAGCTTACTTACAATGGGCTCATTCAATTTCTTAACCTTAAGCCAAAAACGCAGTTTTTGCAAACCTTTCTTACTAATGTAACTGCGCGTAGATCCACTGTCTACCATTCCTCCTACTCTTACTTTGTTTATTTCAAGATATGTAATTATTAACTGTCCTTTCTTCTTTTTTATTTCAGTCCAGGCTTGGCGACGAGCGGCCAACTCATCACCCACGCCAGTGAGGGATCCATCTAGAGAGATGCATACGATTGCCACCTCTGGACAGTGCACTAGATGGGGACTAGTTCCTTCCTCTTCAGTCTCTGCCACTGGGGCCTTCGAATGGGAGGATTCTGATTTTTCAACATTCGACGCCTCGGTAGAGGCAACTGGAACCTCTACTGGCTGTTCCCTTTTGCTCCCCTATAGTCGGGGCAATAGGGTACAATGTGGTCGGGGTCCCCACATTTCAGGCACTGGTCGACGACTTTCCTTTCTTGCCACATTTTTTCTGTGATTCCCAATTTCTTCTAAGGCTCCCCTTCGGGTAGACCTGAATGTGGTGGGTATGGCTTATCCCACTTATTATACCACGTGCCTCTTCCTCTACCCCAGGTGGAATAATAAGTACCACGGCCACCTTGCGAGGGACCATTTCCCCTTCCTCCCACGTAGTGGCTTCCTTCGTCACCACCCCTTTGGGTGCCTGATCCTCGTCCATCACGGCCGCGACCTCTTCCTCGGCCACACCCTCTTCCTTGACGCCCTCCCCCGCGGGCTACAACGGCCGCATAACTCCCCTCCTGAGCTATCGGTCCGCTGAGTTCGTCGAGTCCATAATCTACCTGGTCCCAGGAGATGGTCTCGACGCCTCCTTCAAAGGTTAGAAGGAGACTATCCTTCCCAGGTATAGACTCTGAGATAGTGCGGTTTTGCCACTTCTTTCCCGCTTGCATATCTTTCCAGTAGTGGCAGTAATTTGCTTCAGCGAGGAAGCCAGCATGATCTATCGCGATCTTGCTGAACTTCTCGTACGTCATTCCATCTTCCTTGACACGGGGATACAGTTGTGTTCGCAAGGGATCAGGAAGTGCTCGTGCAAAGCTATTCAGAATCTGGGCAGGTGTAAGTCCATGGTCGGGGCATTGTAACAATCCATCCATGGTTGCTTTCAGGGCAGAGGTGCTCTTCCATTTTCTATCAGGGAGGTTGAGGATTAGCATCTCTGTGCGATGACCTAAGTTCTTGTCCCCAAATCTTTCTCGAACTGCTTTAAGAAAGTCTTCAATCCGCGTTTGCTGTGAGAACTCTACCATTGAGCCGCAACCTGCCTCCTTTTGCAGCGAGATTGCGAAGCTCATGGCATCGCCTCCCATACACGAACTCGCCATCAGCACCCTGTCCCAATATGGAATTCGCTGCCTGTATACGTAGGACTCAATTGCTGCCATCCAATGCAGAACACTTTCATCTTTTTTCCCGTTATAGGTCCATGGCAGTTTGAGTTTAATCTTGGTGACCTGCCCTACTTCCTGTGGAAGCTTTCCCTTCCGGTCTCCATCCCCTTTCCCCTTCTTATCATCATCGTCGTCATCGCCGTCGTCTCCTCCTCCGCCTCCAACTCCCTTGACAATTTTGTCTATGACTTCGGGAGTGAAGGTCTTGTTGATGTGTTCCTCTAATGCTTTGATATAAGTCTGGATGTGCTGGTCAACGTCCTTGCTGATTTCTCCAAAAAGTTGTTCCAAACAGTTTCAAACTCATTCCGACGAGTTTCTACTTTTTGTAACGTCCGATGCATTAAGGTCATTTCTTGTATTGTGTTGAGGACGACCTCTCTGAGGAGGGCAAGTTGTTCGTCTGTTGCAGCTGGTTTGTCCTTTTGAGCTGCTAACTCTTTCTGCAACTTCTCCCCCTCTGCCTGCAGCCTCTTTTTCTCTTCCAATTCTTGCCTCTTGGCTGCTAGCAATCTGTTATGCAGTTCGTCCCTCTTCTCCTCCAACATCAAATTTCGTTCAGCCAAATCAGTTACGGTGGCCAGCCTTGCGACGAACATATCTCGCTCCTCTTCAGATTCATGTAATGGTTCGCTCGTGTAGGAGTACTGACCAGCCCAGTCCAGTGGTTCGACTGGCAGCCGGTCTGCTGCGGTACGACTACTCTCACGTAAGTTGAGGCGACGACGTCTTTCTAGAGTCTCCCCTTCTTCCTGCTCTTCTTCCTCTTCTTCTTCTTGGATACTCTTCAGTTCTTCTTCTAATTCTTTTTTTATCTTTTCCTTCAATTTCTTTTTCGCTTCTTCTTCCTTCTGTCTTTTCTTAGCTTCCCTTTCCTTCTTCTTCTCTGCCAACCTGCGGTCAATTTCCGCCTGTTCCGCAGGTGTGGGCCCAGGTGTTTCTGTCCCAGACCGAAGTATCGCCCGGGGCGCACACACGCATCCGAATCCCAAAGGGAACATCCATCGGAACAAGGGTCCCAACAGAACAGAGAGGGCCAACAGGCCCTGGATGGGATAGTCATCCATGATGATGATCGGCACAGGTGGACCTCCGCCGGTTCACCACGGCACTATCCCACTCAAACTTACTTACTAACTCGGTCTTGACTTGTGGCGAATGGAGTACTGGATTTCGTTCTTTTTTTCTTCTCACTCTGAAAGGTGCTGCACACAATGAATACTTCAATCAAACTTAAGACAATGTTTGCTCTTTTTGTATATGCATATATATTATTTTTTTTCTTCTGCTGTCTGGCTTTCCTGGATCAGAATCTTGCAATGTGTTCCCTATATCTCGCTGTACTTCCCCCTCTATACTTTATTTGTTTGACTAACTTGCGTTGGCTGTTTGGATGCAGGTATGGAGTCAAAGCGCAGAAATGTCAGATGCAAATGTTAGACGTAGTCAACCAGGCAATAGTACTTCGCTTAATTTTTTCTTTCTTTCTGATTTAATTAGCCCCGTGGGTGCTCATCATCATACTTGCAATCTGACGTGGCACATAGCCACTTCCTACATCAATTTGCAGTCCCCTGGTGTCTCGACACAGCCTGTCTATTAAGAGGGGTAGGAGAGATGACTCTAACTCTACCTATAGAATGCTGACCACCCAACCTGACGTGACCAGATCCGGACACACTGCATTCGGACCACCCAGACTCTGACGCGTTATGGTGATCCAGATCCAGATTCGACTCCAGACCAGCAGCAGTCACCTTCAGAGGGAAAGAGAGAGAAGGTAGGGGACACACGCATGCATGCAGGTTAGGGGCAGAGGTGCTTCTCTCTTGTTGAAGAACCTTCGATGTCGCTCCTCGTCGCGCAGCACGCTCCAGGTAAGTATCCTAAGCCCCTTCTTCTTCGGCCTGTTCCCACTACTAATCCTCCTTTCTCCTCTCCTCCTCACCTCCTTCCACTAATCCTCCATCACCACATCTTCAACACTCCTCCTTCTCGCCGGCCTTGATCACGCCAGCGCTATGAGTGCAACGAGCTTGGCTCTGATACCAAATTTTGCATGGGTCCTGAAGACCAACTCACGCAAGAGTGTTCACAGCATGCACCATCGCCATACACAGTGAACGGAAAACTTCACACACTTGACAAAGA